GTCCCTTAAACATCTTCAGTATCACTTTGTGCAGTAATATTCTGCTCCCTGAGATAATGTGTTATCAATACTTTATAAGATAGCTTCAGCTCAGGGAGGGGTAAAATTCATAGCTGCTTTCAAATTATATTTTTGGGGTTTTTTTAGGGGGTAGGCCATAGATCATGCAGCTGTCAGCAAGCAGAGAATCTTGATGACAGAAATGAAATCAATGCAGGAAAAAAATGTGCCCAACTTCCCTCTGAGGGAAGGAGGACTCAGCAAGTTAGAGGTGACAGGAGCAGGGAGAAAAAGTTGCTTTTTTTATTTAACCAAAAAATAAAATTCTGTTCATTTTGGGTGTCAGCGTGAGAAAAAAGCAACCTGACAGTCTAGGTTGAACAAAATCTTCCTTCTCCCTATTTATTTTCCACCTCTTGGCAAGCTGTGATGGGTTGGTGTGTTATTGACATACTGGTGGGGTGGCAAAAAGGGAAAGTTTGTGAGAGAACTCTTGCAAGGGGTGGAGGCCTTTTGTTTCCTGATTTATAGAAAAAAAAAGATAATTTTTCAGCTATTTCCCAAGGCAGAAGTTATTTAAAGCATTCTTAGAAAACAGATGACCCTCCCCCCTGACAATTAAAAAGAGAGGAAAAAAAGGGATCAGGAAAAGTTTGCTTACATTTCTGAAGTGTCTTTCCAATTGTGACAATCACAAGGAAATTTATAGATGGAACTGGAGAAATCAGGACCAAAAAGGAGAAACCTGAAATACTTAAAAAATATATATATAAAGGAATCAGTGTTATAAAAAATATATATAAATAGAAGTTTTAAGGCAAATTGCACTCTGTGATGGAAAGTAGCACCAGAAGTAAAGCTCAGGAGTTAAAGTTTTGGCTGTTTTCAGTCACCAGAGCTCAGGTCTGGTGTGAAAGCTTTACTCAGGTGAGTAAACCTGACTTACCTGGGTCCCACTGGAGCCAAGAGTGCTCCAAACCATCTCATCTTCCATCGTCCTGCTCCTCAAAGGGAGCAGCAGCTATGGCCTACCTGGTGCCATGGCAAAGCACCGAGTGCTCTGCTATGTGTGAAATGTTTTATCTCACCAGGAGAGGGGAAAGCATGGTTTGGATGCATGGATGTGCTCTGCAGACCTGGGGACTGCACAGAAAAACCTTCCTGCTATTTGCCCAAAGTTGTAAAACTCTTCACCCTGCAATTATTTTCCTCTCCTCCCTCCCTGCCAAAAAAAAAAAAAAAAAAAAAAAAAGTCAAGCACAGCACTGGTCAACGTTTCAAAGGATGGTTTGTTTTATCAGTCCGAAATGCTCCAGTGCCTTTGGAGAAAATGTTGCTGTTGTGCTTTTAAAAAATAATAAAAGTTACGGGATCCCTTTGAATTGGGCAAATGTTGGCAGTGCTGGCAGGAGAGACACGGAGCGTTTCAAAGTTCTGGTATGAAGGAAAAGATTCTGAATAAAACAATTTTATGTGATTTTGCAGGTGGTTTGAGCTATCATTTTATATGTACGTTTGTACCACTGCTCATTGGAATGTTCATATAATACTGACCTAATTATGCATAGAAAAAAGATAAGCCATTTACTTGATTCATTTCTTCTTTTTAAATCAAGAAAGGAACAAAAAGGCTCCTATTTTCTGAAAGAAATTGTTCGCTTTTATTGCAGAAAAGTAGCAGCTTGTGCAGAACTAGAACTGTAACAATTTTATATTCCAAAGGTTTTGTGTGTATTCGGTTAGTTACAGTAATTATACCCAATAACTGACAGCCAAAATCACGTAGGAGAAAGCAAAGGCTGTTTTCTCACACAGGCCCTGCTGCAGAACATCTGCTGAGAGATTTGCATATTAATTAACCCATATTAACTCTAATTATTCTGGGAAATTATCAAATAAATTGAATTTTCTAATTTTAACCTTTCTTTTACTTGACGCGTGTCGAGGCTGAGAGGACGCACCAGGCTATCTCACCTGGGCAATGAGCAAAGGATCTTTTCTTCCCCTTTTTTTTGCCTGGCTCCCGCAGACCTGGGGCAGCCTGGGGAGCTTTTGTGTGCCTGGTGCTTTTTTGGCTCCCGCGCTCGCTCGGGTCTCGGCGCATTTGCTGCGCCACGGCACATGTGTGCGTGTGAGCACAGATGGTGGATTTATACAGGGGTGAGGAAAGGTGGTACCTCCGAACAGTTGAGCAAACCTTAAGTTTTTTTTTTTTTTTTCCTCCCCCTCTCCTTTTATTTTTTTTTTTCCTCGCCTCCCCTTCCCCAGCCTGTTGTTTAGGCCTGAGCAAATAAATGGGAGTTTAATTCAATTAGAGCCTGGCTTTAGCCAGTTGCCTCATGACAGAAATTATTCAATATTTTTTCCCCCTCACATTGTTTGGTTTACACATCGCTGACTCCCTCGCTTTTGTGCTCTGTTTAGAGTGGCCGTAATGCGGTGAGCTTTTGTGTCTGCCATGTCGCCGTCCCTTTCACCGCTGTCTGGTCCTGTCAGTCCTGAGGTGCAACGATGCTATTTTGAAAACAGAAAGGTTTTAATGTATTAGGAGCGGGGCCCGCGCTTGCACAGCAGCAAAACGCTGGGAACAAAGCTGGCGGCCGCAGGGAGGGAGGATGCTCCAGCCTTGGAGGGAGGATGGAGCCCTTGGGATGGAGCTCCGCCAAGTTGGCTGGACCAGCACCCTAGAGTTACCCAAAAGCACCCCGCTCCCCAAACACCCTCAGGAACCCATTCCCCGGGAGGTTTAGCGAAAGCAACACCTCAGAGGAAGGCTGGCAAGCGCTCATTTCCACCTGAATGGCCGCGCTGTCCGCCCCGCTGCGCGGAGCGGGGCCGGGGATGCTCGGGGCCGTTATCCCGGGCGGCGCTGATCTCTCCCATTATCCCGCTGATGGGCTCCCAAGTGCCGAGTTACCTGTTAGACACGGGATTTCCTGTTGGCACCCGGAAACGGGAGCAATTCCCAAACCAACCCCAACCATCCAACCAACCCAGCTGGGGCTGCCCAACACATAGGGACTGAGATTTTCAAGGCAGTTGTGGCTCTTTATTTTTTTTTTTTTGTTTTCTTTGGGTTTTTTGGGGTTTTTTTTGTTTGTTTTTTATTTTATTTTATTTTAGTTTAGTTTAGTTTGTTGGATTATTTCTTTTTTTAATGGAGAGGCTAGAGGTGCACAGTGCTTTTGTGTGGAAGTTTGGAGGATTCTTTCCAGAGAAGTGTGACTTTGGCAGGCGAGATGTGGCTACATCAGAAGAAGGTAGGGTTAACAGCACCAAACTCTTTTCTCCCTGAACTTTAAAGGAGGAAAGGATTGTCCCTCCTGAGCTGAAATGCTGGGTTGTTTAGGCTTTCAATTGTGGGTTAAATGCAATATGAAAAATGAGTCAGATGTGTAGTTATCATTTTGGGGTGGAGGAGGATAAAATGCCAGCAGATATAGAGCTTCTTAATAGAAGCAGAGCATCATTATAAGGTTGTCTTTTTTTTTTTTTTTTTTTTACATGGTGGCATTACTCATTTTAAGTTGCAAAATGACCAGGCTCTGATTTCTGAACCTTTGAATATAGTCCAGTTTTTATGACTTTCTACCTACTCCATGGTTTATAAAGTTGAGCAACCTTTAGGGAAGAAGGTGATAGACACAATATCTATTTATGCAAGGACACATTTCCCTTTTCTTTATGTTCTGTTTATTCAAGGTTTTGTTTCCAAGGTCTTATTACTATAAAACTTAAAGTGAGACAAGGTCTGCCCTCATGTCAGATAACAACACCAAAACAATTCTGATGGCTCAGTAGCTTATTATTTCATACTTCCAGGTCTTAAATAAATTACAGTTATTTTCACATTCCTCCTGAATATCCTTCAGGCATGATAATAAGTGCATTTTTCTGAAAAGACTGTTAATATTTCTTTTCTTCTCACTGACTTAAAATATTTTGTTGAATTGTCATGTACAATAATAATTAGAGGGGGTCTTGCTAAATTTCTTTCAGTGTGATGCTTATATTGTTTAGCTTCTTGACATATTTTACTAATCATTGCAGAACTGTTGGCAAATAGATTGTAAATTACAGTGAAATACAGAGATGAACTAGTAGTTTGAGCATCTTTTCTATAGCATTCCTTTGCTGAAGCCTTGCATTCCTCGTTTGCTTTCTTGGATTTGGTTTTGGTTGGTGTTTTTTGGTGGTTTGTTTTTTTTTCAATCATCAAAGGCAATTATTGGCTTGGGTTTTGAAGTGCATATTATCAAGGTATTATTTCCTTAGAAGTGCAGTACAGTAGATCATGGAAAGCATGAGGACCTGAGTCATTTTCTGGAGAGGAGAAGGCACTAGTCTGAATGAGTCAATGAATGACACATTTTTAGGGTTGGGTTTTTTCTTCCTGAAGCATCAGTATAATGTTTCTCTCCTTTTTAATTTTTTTTTCTCCGTGGTTAAAATAAAGTAGTCAACACCATTAGAATTTCACTAGAGGGGAAGAAAACCATGTTTTTCTGGGGTTTTTTTCTCTTGTTTTTTTTGGATTTTTTTTTTTTGTTTTGGTTTTTAATATGTAGTTGCAGGCTGAGTATAAAGTTACAGTCTGGGAATAAACAAATATGGGTGATTTAGGTCTGGATGAGTGATGTGCAGGATGAGATCCTAGTTCCACTGAAATTAAGGAGATTGTATCAAAGTTCCAGAGAAGAAACAAGTGATACTGAAAACAAGAAAATGTCCCAGAATGATTTCATTCTTTTCAGTGCTTCCAGTCAAAGGCAGAACTCATTTAAATGAATTTATCTTGTATTTATTTCACCTGAACTTAAATATTAGGGCCCACAAGCCAGGCTGCTCAGGGGCACACCACAGGTATGAAGTCTCCAGGCCCTCCTTGATGATGCAGAACCCCATGTTCCCGGGTTTTGATCCTGGGATTTTGGGTCCTGAGGATTTTCCTCTGAAACCTGAGGTGAGAGGGACTGGGAGTATGACAGTGATTTGTTTTATTGGGAATATATCAGATACTGTGCTAGTGGTTTCTGGTCAGTGCTTCCCACTTGCAGCAATTGCTGCTGCAGCTGAAGTTTTGCAGTGGTTGGGATTTATCCTGGACATTGAATGATCTTGTCTCTGGTGTGTTCATTCATGAAGGATTGTCCCTCCCCCTTCAGGAAACCAAGGTGGTACTTTTGCATTAAAAAGCAGGTTATGTGATAGTTTATAACTCCTGCTCACTGGTCCACCATTCAAAAGGATGACTCTAAATCCAGGCTTACATAGCACGTAATGACAACTGACAACAAGTCTCACATGAAATTCTTAAGGGATTTCAGAAAAGTTTTATCTGAATTTTTTTTTTTGTTATTACTAAAATCTTCAACCTACAATATTTGGGTAATTCTACCTCTCTCCCACCTGTCTATTTAATAGGAATTAGATAGCCACCATACCAGTCTTTCTTGACCAGAACAACAACAACAAAAAATTGCTTTATTGGTCTAGATTTATTTAGTGTGAGTAAGAGATGATTTTTTCTTTATTTCTAGTTTTTATACAAACTTCATCCTAGGTGAACAACCTTAGGACAATCTTATTTTTACCTAAGAAGTCAAGTAGCTGGGGGCTCCCTTCCCAGGTATCTCCCTCATAATGGGGGGACCCTCTCAGATTCTTCAACCCAACATCACTGGAGAAGAATTATTCTGTTAGCAATCATTTAAGTTAGAAATTATGAATTAAATTCTTCCAAAGAGACAGTCTGAAAGCTGAGTCCCTAAAAAATAGCCATGATCAGCTGGTGCAGCTCTACTTGTGTGTGACAGCATTGCACAAACTGTGTTTCAGGGCCTCCACAGCAAAAGGAAAATTTCTCAGCAGGCTGATAGACATTATGGTGGATAAATTAGAATTTACTATCTTCCAAAAACTGCTGAGACGATATTTCAACAGAAATTATTCTTTGCTGAAAAAGTTGTACTATGGTATAACTAGAGAGAGGCACCAACATTTTTCTAAGGACTCTTCAAGAATGTAAGATTCTATTCCCTATAAAGTCACACACAAAAATGCATAGACCTCAGGAAAAAAAATGTATTTTCCTTTAGTTAAGACTCTTTTCATTCTACATAAAAGCTAAAACAATAATGAAAATAATAAAAGTATCTTTTGGACAAAAGATAATAGACAGCGATGCACAGTTCCAACACCTCTTTTATCTCCTCTGTCCCTCATCATCAGTCACCACAGTGAGGAAAGAGAACTATCAGACTTGGAACTGTTCTAGTCCAGTGAAAGCTTTGATTTTCTCTCCTCTGTCACAATTCTTAGGCGTGCTGCATAGGAGTTATCACTGCTGTTTGCAAACAGCCAGGAAAAGGAAAGGGGATAAAATATTCACCTCCAAAGTCAACACAGAATGAAGCTATGCATTTATATTTCTCTTTCAAGGACATCATCAAAACTCATGAAGGCAAAGCCATCCACAGCAAACCATGAGGCTGTATAGATTTTAAGGTAATAAAGCTAACATTAACTGCCAGTTTCCAAACTGCAACCATGGTAGCCCTTTTAACTAAAGAGAAAGTTATTTTTTTTCTTTTCTGAAGAGGCTTTTTCTTCAAAGACCCTATTGATGGGAAGGTAGAAGGAAACCTGACATCATTTTGGATTCTTCCCAGCCTACCTTCAGGCATCTCTTTCTACTGCTTCTTTCATGGAGGCAGTCAAGTCTTAGTGTGACAATTTAAAAAATATGAAGCCTCTGGGCTATTATGAATTTCTGTCCCCAGAGTGAATCACTGCACAAATCCTACAAGTGAGAAGACTCAGAGGAGCTGTCTATTTTCTGTTGTTTTGAGGTGGTCAGCCTGACACTGAAGGTGATATTGTGGGGAGGTGAAAGCCACATCACTTTTTACAAGGGATAGCTCCTAACTGTGCTGGAATAGTTCATGCAGGGAAATGAAGGAAGAGGAGTAAGGAAGAGAAAATGAGAAAAAAGAAAGAGCGAGGTGATGGAGGATATGCTGGCAGATGTCAATGGACAGCTTGGGTGATTCTGAGGATGACATGTGTTTTCCAGACAGAACAATGGCATCCAAACTGCTAATCAGAACACAGGGCTGGCTCTGTCCCTCTGCTGTAAATCTTGCATTCTTCTGTCTTCCCTGTAGCCAGCTTTTTCAGTTGGTCAGTGGAAAAAGTGGACTCAATTCTGCAGCCTTGTTGTTCAATTCAGTCAAGTGGTTTAAAATTACTATGAGAGTAAGAGGCAGGTGATGTAGTCAAAATGCAGGTATGAAAACACCGGTGATTTCTCCTGTATAAAACACAAATAAATGTTGTGAACAAGGGGCTCTGCAGCCAGATCCATTCTGTTTTCTGGTTCCCCAACACTGAGAACACAGAAACAAACACAGATTTTGCAAAATGAAAGTGATTATTTCGTGCCTATTCATCAGAGGCACATTTAAATTGAACTAAATAGCCTTAAATGTAAGAGTCTCTCAGTAGAGCTCATAACTGTTCTTCTTCCTTTTTTTGTTCTTCACTTGTCTGTCCAGTCCTGAAAAAGATTAGAGTATTCTTATATTTTTAAACTAATCAGTAGGATAACTCTTGAGTTCAGTTCTCTGTGTTTAAGAAAGAGAAAAACAGAGTTTGGAAGAGAAAATGAAGTTGCACTGTTGTGGAGATAATTTTTTTCTGCAGTTTGATTCCTCCTAAGATAATGTGCTTTTAATTTCTTGCGGCTTAGAAGGTATGTCCCTATATACTTAAAAATCATTGAAATCAGATCAGGGACACAGCTAAGCAGCAACAACATCTTCTTGAACATCCTGAGCAGTAGACTCATGCCAATTCCATACTGATTTCAAGCACAAGCTGAAGGTATATTGTCTTCCTCCAGGCTATGCTTTTGCTTCTCCTGTGAACAAGCTCTGTAATCTACCAGGAGAGAAGGCTATCTTGAAGGATAAATAAATAATCAATTATTTATGTTTCTAAAAGCATTCAGCTGTGCTCTTACTGCTGTGTAACCATTTAAAAGTATGTATTCAGCAGAGAAATTCCAGTCTGGGAATCTAGTGTATGTGATTTAATCAGCACCCTCAAGATCCACAGGAAGATGAGTCTCCTCCTGGTTGTCAGCATCCAAAAATTGGCCTCTCCCTGCGGTGCAGAGGCAGCTACAAGGGTAACAGAGGCTGGCTGACCACACAACTGCCAAAATCAATGTCCCTCAGTCAAGACATATAAACTTTGATGAATCCCATTGTCGTTAGCAGGAACAAAGCAACAAACACTTCTGAGAAGAGAAGCCAAGAGGGAGCCAAGAGCCTCACCAACATGCAGTGTATCTCATCTGACAGTGCAACTTTGGTAGCAGCCTCAGGACTCTGGCTAAAAATATAAATAGAAAAAAAAAAGAAATAATTTGCCTACACGGTATAGGAGTGTTCCTTGTTATTTGAGTTTGAAATAGGATCACAGGCACTTCTTGGAGTCTGTAGTGGGCTGGTTATTGGGGTTCAAAACAGCATCACCGTTTCCTGCTGAAGTCTGTAGTGGGTTTAACTATTTTCACGAAAGGCATATTCCAAAGGATGTGCATGTAAAGGCAACCTGAGAGGTGAGACACTGACCTAAGCATCAGCTTTTAGGCTTTGGGATTAAGCAACCCTTAATCTGCATTTCAAATTCCTCTATTTTTTTGCACCCTTCTAATATCACATCTTCAGGACAGCTGGGGTCCTGTCTGTTGGCAAAATGTTGCCTCTCAAATCCTAAGCCTTCTTATTTGTGGAGTTTACGTGTTGAAGGTACATTCTATTAGAGTCACCATTCCCATAGCAATTACGGTTGCCTGAGAAATTTCTAAAAATGTACTTTTATTATCAATGTACCTTCCCTGAGAACAGTGTTTATTCTAGGGGGAAAGGAGTGGGTGTACCCTAAGCTTCCTGTTGCCATCACTTGTGTCATCCTCATTTCTCTTAGGATGAGAGACACTCATTAGTAATAGAATAGAGAAGATGGCAACCACACGCTCACACAAAGCAGGTAAGGCCTTCTCTGGTTAGAATCTGGAGATAAAAAAGCAAGGAAATGCAGGGCAATGCTATTACTTCATTCTTAGACTGTGTCATTTATAGTTAATGTGCTCTGCTGTGTTGTGAGCATTATGGGGTTCTGTTATCTAAGAAAGCATAGAAAAGTACTCTGCTGTCTACATGCAGAGTTTAGCCATGTGTAAGTCTTTTTGCCCGAAATCATTTGCACAACCAAGCCAGGATACATGCTCAGGGTTTGGGATATCCAGGAACCAGTGGGAAGAAAGCAGTTTCCTCTCTCCTGGCTCCAGGCCTGCTGCTCCTGAGACTTATCCTGTGGTTTCTCCTCTGTTCATCCCACTGGCCTCTCCTAGGCAGGGCTGTCTGTAGATAGGTCATAAGGAGTGTGCAATTCTTCATCACCCAAAGATGAGAAAGGCGTGTTTTTGTCCTTCTGTGGGTTTTCAGCTTGCTCTGCCAATTTATTGCCACTTTTTAGCATCCCCCTACATTAATGTTACATGAAGAGCAGGGAGCGATGGGACCTGACCTTCCAGCACACCTGAGGTGACTGGGCACTCCCCAAAAGGTTAAGATGGCATGGCTGAGGCTCTGCACAATGGGCCAGAGCAGGAGGAAACCAGCAGCTCCCATCCGGTGGCACGACCCGTGCCCGCCGCCTTTCCCATCCCTCCTTCTGCAGGAGCCGTTTGCATAAATTCCTTGCAGATCAGGGAGAAAATTGATCCCCTACTTTTCAGCTCCCTTCTTTTACTGGTTGTCACAACCTTAACAGTACTTGACATCAATGGGAGTTACATTGTGGACCGGGGGCAGTGTTTGGCCCTTAAGCGTAGTTTTTGCATGTTAATACATTAGCAACTGATGTCTTATTTGTTCAGTAACTGACAGAATAATGTACAGAGAGCACGTAAGTATGAAAAGGGGCTAGTTAGGTAATGTTGAGCAGAACATCTTCAAGACAACAGTGCAACCACTGTATTTCAAATGTCAGGCTAATTATTATCAACATTTAAATGTTAGCGTGGGCCATTTTTAATGGTGGAATTTTTCTCAGCAGGTACCATTTAGGGGAGAAAATGTCACATGTAGTTCTGCCATTGTATTGTTCAAAAAAAAAAAAAAAAGGTACATAAAACAAGGAAAGTCTTCATAGAGACAGCAAAAAGAACATCTTGTTTGCTTAAATGTAAAATTAATCTGTCTGATGATAGTATTTGGGGTATCATTTGTTTTAAGGAGGCATGGAGAAGGTTTGCTAGAATCTAACAATTTCAGCTGAAAGTTACACTCACCAGAGATAAAGCATACAATTTTTTTGGAGGTTCATACTTGTGCAGGTCCCAGTTGTTCTGGAGGCAGTTGAAGTCTGAGCTGTGCACTCTCTGGTAACCCCTGAACCGAAAACGAAACTTGAATATGATTC